ACCCACTGCACGGAGGCGGATACAGGTCGCGACTTGGCTACGTTTACACGTCGGCCAGGGTCGAGCCTGTACACACTGACCACTGCTTCTCCTCCAGGTGCTGAGTCTGGTAGGGTCCCTTCGTCTGGTCAGGTGTTTGCTGCAGCGTCCAGGTCTGGTCCTGAGTCTGCCCACTGCTCGTGTCGTCGTCTGTCTCACGAGACCCTCCTCTGGCACCACCGCCTTGGCCACCCCTCTCTGCTTCGACTCAGAGGCATGGCCTCGCGAGTCCTTGTGTCTGGTCTTCCCCGGTCTCTCCCTCCCCTTCCTCCGGGCCCTGGCCCCACCTGTGTCCCCTGTGTCGAGGGGCGCCAGCGTGCTGCCCCTCACTCCTCCCAGTTTCCTCCGACAGAGGCCCCGTTGCAGACGCTTCACATGGACGTGTGGGGCCCAGCCCGCGTCCGTGGACAGGGTCAGGAGCGCTACTTCCTGCTGGTGGTTGACGACTACTCGCGTTACACCACAGTCTTCCCCTTGCGCAGCAAGGGTGAGGTCACTGAGGTGTTGATCGACTGGATCCGCGCAGCTCGTCTCCAGCTTCGGAGGAGCTTTGGCTCTGACTTCCCTGTTTTGCGTCTGCACTCGGACAGAGGCGGAGAGTTCTCCTCTGGCCTCCTGAGTGCCTACTGTCATGCGCGAGGCATCCGTCAGACCTTCACGCTTCCGGACTCACCACAGCAGAATGGGATTGCTGAGCGCCGCATTGGCATGGTCATGGACGTCGCTCGTACGTCCATGATGCATGCGGCTGCTCCCCATTTTCTGTGGCCGTTTGCGGTCAGTTACGCTGCGCACCAGATCAACCTCCACCCCAGGGTCTCTCGACCGGAGACCTCCCCAGCCCTGCTGTGGACGGGGAAGGTTGGCGATGCGTCGGCGTTCCGGGTCTGGGGATCTCGGGCGTTTGTTCGCGACCTGTCTGCGGACAAGCTGTCCCCTCGTGCTTCTCCCTGCGTCTTCCTGGGGTTCCCCCCCGACGCCCCTGGGTGGCAGTTTTACCACCCCACCTCTCGACGTGTTCTGTCCTCCCAGGACGTCACGTTCGACGAGTCGGTACCCTACTACCGCCTCTTCCCCTACCGCACTCCGTCCCTCCCCCCACCCCCGCTCTTCTTGGTACCAGGTCCCCCCCCGGTAGTCCCCCTCCCCCCTCAGGGTCCTGCCCCTTCAGGTGTGTCCCAGATAGACGCGGTCGAGCCTGTCGAGGTCACTGGTGACTCTGGTGCTGCTGCGGGAGCTGAGCCTGGGGGTGCGGAGTCTGGGGGTGCTGAGCCTGGAGGTGCCGAGTCTGGGGGTGCTGAGCCTGGGGGTGCTGTGCCTGGGGGTGCTGAGCCTGGAGGTGCTGAGTCTGGGGGTGCTGTGCCTGGGGGTGCTGAGCCTGGAGGTGCTGCGCCTGGGGGTGCTGAGCCTGGGGGTGCTGAGCCTGGGGGTGCTGTGTCTAGGGGTGCTGAGCCTGGAGGTGCTGTGCCTGGGGGTGCTTCGTCTCGCCGGGAGCCACTCTCCCCACAGGAGCTGCGTGAGTGGTTTGCCAGGCGCTGGAGGCGTGCTGCTGGTGCTGGTGGTTCTTCGGCTGCAGAGGGTACTGCTGCTGCGCACCCCGCCGGTGCTCGTACTGTGGGTGCTGGAGCTGCTGGGTCTGAGAGTTCTCCTGGAGCTGGTCCTGCTGAGGGTGTTGGCGCTGAGCCTGCCGTTGGCGGTCCGACTGACAGTGCTCCTGGTGCTGCGGCTGGAGGTTCTGGAGCTTCTGGTGGTGCTGCTGGAGGTGCTGCTGGAGTGGGTGCTCCTGCCGGGGCTGCTGGTGCTGTTCCTGCTGTTTCTAGCGTCGCCGCGCGGCCCCGACCGTACTTCGTTCCGCTCCTGCAGCAGGTTCTTGGTCTTACACCTCCTCCTCCTCCCTTAGAGGGTCCGCAGCCTGTCCGGTCACAGCCACAGCTACAGCCTGCCTCCCCTTTGCCTGCTCCTTCTCCCTACGCTGGTCCGAATGGAGGTCTTACTGAGCGCGCTAGTGGTCGCGGGTCGCGTCAGCGTCCTCCTCCTGTCCCTGGCACGCACCGGATGTCACTGCGTCCGTCCACTGCTCCTCTGCGTGCCCCTTTGCCTTCTCCTCCTGCTTCCTCTCTTCCTGCTCTTGCCGACCCGGAGTCGGACTCTCTTCGTGCTGCCAGTCCTACTGTCACGCGTCTCCTGGCTACTGCTGTCACTGACCCCTCCTTCGAGTCGTCTGCTGCGTCTGCCCTTGTCACTGAGCTTGTCGACTTTGCTGCGCGCTGTCGTCTAGACTACGCTGCTCGTCTTGTCACTGAGTCTGAGTCCGCCTGTCCTCCGTCCGTCGGGGGTGAGTGTGCCCTTGGCACGGACGTCCTTGAGGACAGGCAGGAGGAGTTCCAGTGTCTGGCCGCCGCTTCACCTCGTCTCGCGTCTGTACTGCTAGCCCCTGAGGGAGACCCGGATGCACCAGACATCCCGACTCCGCGCTCTTACGCGGAGGCGATAGAGGGTCCCTACTCCTCTCAGTGGCAGGCAGCTATGGATGCAGAGATGGCTTCCTGGAAGTCCACAGGCACCTACGTTGACGCTGTTCCCCCTCTGGGGCGAACATCGTCAGTGGCATGTGGATTTTCAGGGTGAAACGGCCGCCGGGTTCTCCGCCTGTCTTCAAGGCGCGTTACGTGGCTCGTGGCTTCAGTCAGCGGCAGGGGGTTGACTACTTTCAGACCTTCTCCCCCACCCTGAAGATGACCACTCTTCGGGTTCTGCTGCACGTTGCTGCTCACCGTGACTACGAGCTGCACTCTCTCGACTTCAGCACAGCTTTCTTGCAGGGCAGCCTGCACGAGGAGATCTGGCTGCGTCGCCCACCTGGCTTCACTGGGTCTTTCCCTCCTGGTACCCAGTGGAGTCTCCGGCGTCCAGTCTACGGTCTCCGCCAGGCGCCACGTGAGTGGTACGACACACTGAGGACTACGCTTGCGGCTCTTGGGTTTGCTCCTTCTACTGCCGACCCGTCGCTGTTTCTGCGCACCGACACCTCTCTTCCGCCGTTCTACATCCTCGTGTACGTCGACGACTTGGTCTTTGCCACAGCGGACACTGCTGGACTCGCCTACGTGAAGTCCGAGCTGCAGAAGAGACACACGTGCACTGACCTGGGTGAACTGCGCAGCTACCTTGGCTTGCAGATCACCCGGGACAGAGCACGCCGCACCATTACCCTGACTCAGTCACACATGGTGCAGCAGGTCCTTCAGCGCTTCGGCTTCACGTACTCCTCGCCTCAGGCCACTCCTCTGCCTACTCGCCACTCGCTCTCAGCTCTGCCTTCGGATGAGTCCGTAGAGTCGAGTGGCCCGTTTGCAGAGCTTGTTGGCTGCCTCATGTACCTGATGACCTGCACACGACCTGACCTCGCATACCCTCTTAGCATTCTCGCACGCTTTGTTGCTCCTGGGAGACACCGACCAGAGCACATGGCTGCAGCGAAGAGGGTGTTGCGCTACTTGTGCAGTACGTCGGGCATGGGGCTAGTGCTTGGAGGGCGCAGTCCAGTGGTCCTCACTGGGCACGCAGACGCTTCTTGGGCTGACGACCAGGCTACGCAGCGGTCGTCACAGGGTTACACCTTCAGCCTTGGTTCCGGCTCTGTCTCGTGGCGGGCTACCCGCTCGTCTTCTGTTCTCGGCTCCAGTTGTGAGGCTGAGATCTACGCTGGGGCTATGGCTGCACAGGAGTTACGCTGGCTCACCTACCTGCTGACCGACCTTGGAGAGCAGCCTCGTTCTCCTCCAGTCCTGTACGTAGACAACAAGGCCATGCTGGCCTTGTGTCGAGAGCAGCGACTGGAGCACAGAACGAAGCACATTGCTCTTCGCTACTTTCTTGCTCGTGAGCTACAGCAGCGTGGACAGCTGCGACTTGCGTACGTGGCCTCTGAGGCCAACACTGCTGATGTCTTCACCAAGGCACTTGCGCCTTGTGATCATCAGCGTTGCTGCACGCAGTTGGGTCTTGTGCCTGTCTTGCCTCACTTGCTCTCCTCTTGACCTTGCTTGTACCTTCGCATATATATACTCTTGCTCTTGTATACCTCTATATATGATCTTGCATGTGAACTGGCCTTGTGGCCTTTGAACTTGTGCTCGGAATGCGTGGTGACTTTGTGATCCACCCTGAGCTTTGCTTTGCTTTGCTTGACTGGTCTTGTGACCCCTTGTTCTCCCCCACTTTGCCTATGGGGGTGTGTCAGAACATATAGCTTACTTGTTACTGTAGGCTATAGTGGGGTATCCCATAGGGGGTACAACACAATTAGGGTTTCCTATTTGTATTCACTTCACTTCATAGTCATTCATCCTCGTTCTTTGGTTTCACACTGTGACATATATATACCTGCTCTTGCTTGTCTAGTCTTCTATATATGTCTGTACTCTTGCTTGTGAACTGGCCTCTGGCCCTGCTCTTGTGCTCGGACTGTGTGGTGACTTTGTGATCCACCCTGAGCTTGCTTTGCTTTGCTTTGCTTGACTGGTCTTGTGACCCCTTGTTCTCCCCCACTTTGCCTATGGGGGTGTGTCAGATTACTATGGCTGATGCATGTTTGTAGGCTATAGTGGGGTAGCACATATGGGGTACAGCTTTCTAGGGTTGTATTTGTACCCAACCCTGACTTAGTCATTTCATTCCTGTTTGCTTATTCTCACATCGTATACGGTATTCCTATGCATACCAAAACGTATACAGAATTTCGCTGGGTGTATACCATCGATGTGTGCTTCAATGCATAGACCAGAAAAACATTCTACGAAAAACAGCGCGTCCAGGGAAGAAGGTGGCATACAAGCCCCAAATCGGGCTTCTACAGAGACAGACAAGTGCCTGTAGTGCATATTCAGTACAACTGGAGTAAAGTACCCAAATAACTAAACCGCCCCACCCTTAAGGTACATGCCCCCTCATTTCTGCTCCTAGCGTTTCGACGCTTCGCCCTTCGCCTTTTCCCGTTCCGCCTTCTTCGCCGCAGCGGTTCGTTGTTTCTCCTCTTCCGCCTTCTCCTGCGCCATGTGTTCCTTGTGGATCTCCTCCCACTCATCATCCCCAAACAGCGAAGTTGCCCACTCCTGGTCGCGAAGGCCCTTCTTGACTAACAGCCAGCCCACTCTACGTTGCGCCAAGTCGTTGACGGTCCTCTTTTCCATCGACGAACCGGTCTTCTGTTTCTTGATGGGTGGAGTCTCATGCAGCACCGCCAGGCCGTTGGTAAATTCCGTGAAGTTGCACACGAGTAAAACCTCGTCCAGCAGCTTAATGGCCGTTGCGGTCGCCGCCTCGGAGCTGTCTTTTCTTAGCGTCTCCACGAAAACCATGACACGATGCACGCGACGCATCTTTCGCTCGCATGCACCCACAGCCATCCCGGGCGTACCTTTGTCAGCGAACCGGGAATATGCGGTGATGAAGCTAGAATTCTTGTCCTTCTTCTTATACCGGTCGAACTCTGCAAAGACTTCGCGCAGTGACCTGCCGCCCATGATGAGGCTTGGCTGCACCCACACTTTCCAGGCAGCAGCAATAGTGGTGGCTTCGCGCCAAGACACAACGACCACGACGAAGAATTCTTCCACGGCAACTGGTGCTTTGGATGCGTCCGTTGCCTGGTTTGCTCTTGTTCCCGCGCTCTTCGACGATCCGTCGATCTCTGCAGAGGTGTTTGCCGCGTCATCCCTGGCCGCAACAGACTTCTTGTATGCTTCGAACTCTGCGATGACCTGAGCCTTGTCCTCTCGCTCAGCGGCGAGTTTCTCCCTCAGTTCAGCGTTCTCCATCGCCAACTGCATTTCACGTCCTCTCAAAATCCCAAGCTCCTCCCTGAGCATATTGGTGGTGAGGTGCATCTTCTGCATCTTCTCATCTGCGGTCGTGCGAAAGATAGCGTCCTGCAGAAACCAACACGGCAGAACTCAGCATGAACGAATAACTCCCTCTCTCTACCTCTAATAGCAGGCACTTACTGCTTTGGCGATGGTTTGGCCGGTTGCCCGAAGCTTCTCGCCCTGGAAGTGAGAGATAGCGACCAGGTACGCCCACTTTTGGAACAGCGGGTGGTTGCACAAGGGGCTCATCTGCACATATGGATGCCTCTCGCAATTGCACCGCGGGTTTCTCATGCAGTGCTGATGGCAGAACGCCCACATCATAGCCAAATCCTGTGCAACAACGAGGCGTCCGATGCTCACGAGGGTCTTAAGGAACCTCGCCCCCGCATAGTGCCTCTTCAGCGGATCGGTCTGCGCAGCGTTCCATTCTTTGACCTGACGGGATGAGTATGCAGGAGAAATGCGACGGTTCATAATTGCGTATCAAAATTAAGCTACGAACGTGAAAACTGTACACTAGCATGTACCTTCTTCCAACCCTCTTCGACCCAGGGGAAAATGTGAAGCCTCAAGAGATCCAAGAGCTGCAACCACTCATCCTTCTCCTTATCCTTATGCCGCGGAAGCTTGGAGCGGGCTCTGCCGATGTAGTAGTCTCCACGATCCCCGCTAAATCCTGCCAGCAGCCAAACCGGCTTGAACGAAAGGCCGAACACATAACACCTCCGCAACTCCCCCTGCGCCCATCCGCCCAGAGTGCCGATATCGTTGTCGGAGCAACCGTCGTCATGGAGTTGTTGCGCTCCGGATCTGCGGAATGCATGTGTCACCTTGCTCAGAATCCATCTCGCCTTCGTCATAGCCCACTTAATCCAGGTGTTATGCGTTTTGTAGTGCATCTCGTCTTGCTTCTGCTTTCCCTGGTCGCCCTTCTTCAAAGAAAAGAAGAGGTGCGCTTTAGTCCACAAGATCGGTTCAGAAAAGTCGAGAGGCTCGACGATACCGGGGCCGTAGCGCAGAGGAACGAGGTCGTTGATGAAATGAAGCCACAGGAACACATGGCCCATTCCGCAGAGCCGCCAGTCCCTATGCCTTGCAAGAAACTGATGACTCAGCTTGTTGTTGGGGTTGGTCTTCGACTTCCTGGAAACAACGACGAGTACGAAAACGTCCAGATAGTCGTCAAGGTGTGATGTGCTCCGCGTCATGCGGACAAACAGGTTCCCAAGGCGAATCTTTTGAATTCTGCACCCTCTTCCGAGAAATTGGTGTCCGAGGTGAATCATAACCGGGACTTGCAGAGCCTTCCAGAGAGGAAGCGAGATTTGTGACGGAGGCGTCCGCCACCAGATCTCTAGGAGCTCTTTGTGAGAATTGAGGAATGAAATGAACTAGCACAAAGTTGGGTACAAGTAGGAAACCCTAGGAAACTGTACCCCATAGTGTCTACCCCACTATAGCCTACACAAGCTATATAATATGAGTTTGACACACCCCCATAAGCAAAGTGGGGGATAACAAGAGGTCACAAGACCAGTCAAGCAAAGCAAAGCAAGCTGAGGGAGGATCACAACGTCACCACACAATCCGAGCACAAGAGCAAGGCCAAAAGGCCAGTTCACATGCAAGATCATATATAAAGGCAAACAAGCAAGTGCAGGTATAGAAAGATCACAGTACAAGCAAGGTCAAGAAGTGAGCAAGTGAGGCCAAGTAGGCACAAGACCTAACATCGTAGAGAAACGCTGATGATCACAAGGCGAAAGTGCCTTGGTAAAGATATCAGCAGTGTTGGCCTCAGAGGCCACGTAAGCAAGGCGCAGCTGACCACGCTGCTGCAGCTCATGAGCAAGGAAGTAGCGAAGAGCAATGTGCTTCGTTCTGTGCTCCAGTCTGTGCTCCCGACACAAGGCCAGCATGGCCTTCTTGTCTACGTACAGAACTGGAGGAAAACGAGGCGACTCTCCTAGGTCAGTCAGCAGGTAGGTGAGCCAGCGTAGCTCCTGTGCAGCCATGGCCCCTGCGTAGATCTCAGCCTCAGAGCTGGAGCTGAGAACAGAAGACGAGCGGGTAGACCGCCACGAAACAGAGCCGGAGCCAAGGCTGAAGGTGTAACCCTGTGACGACCGCTGCAGAGCCTGGTCGTCAGCCCAAGAAGCGTCAGCGTGACCTGTGAGGACCACTCGATGTCGCCCTCCAAGCACTAGCCCCATGCCCAAGGTACTGCACAAGTAGCGCAACACCTTCTTCGCTGCAGCCATGTGCTCTGGCCTGTGTCTGCCAGGAGCAACATAGCGTGCCAAGATGCTAAGAGGGTATGCAAGGTCAGGTCATGTGCAGGTCATCAGGTACATGAGGCAGCCAACAAGCTCTGGGTACGGGCCACTCGGCTCTACGGACTCATCTGAAGGCAGAGCTGAGAGCGAGTGGCGAGTAGACAGAGGAGTGGCCTGAGGCGAGGAGTACGTGAAGTCGAAGCGCTAAAGGACCTGCTGCACCATGTGTGACTGAGTCAGGGTAATGGTGCGGCGTGCTCTGTCCCGGGTGATCTGCAAGCCAAGGTAGCTGCGCAGTTCACCCAGGTCTGTGCATGTATGTCTCTTCTTCAGCTCGAACTTCACGTGGGCTAGTCCAGCAGTGTCAGCAGTGGCAAAGACCAAGTCGTCGACGTACACGAGGATGTAGAACGGCAGCAAAGAGGTGTCGGTGCGTAGAAATAGCGACGGGTCGGCTGTAGAAGGAGCAAACCCAAGAGTCGCAAGTGTAGTCCTCAGTGTGTCGTGCCACTCACTGGGCGCCTGGCGGAGACCGTAGACTGGCCGCCGGAGGCTCCACTGGGTACCACGAGGAAACGACCCAGTGAAGCCAGGTGGGCGGCGCAGCCAGATCTCCTCGTGCAGGCTGCCCTGCAGGAAAGCCGTGCTGAAGTCAAGAGAGTGAAGCTCGTATTCGCGCTGAGCGGCAACGTGCAGCAGCACCCGAAGAGTGGTCATCTTTTGGGTGGGAGAGAAGGTCTGAAAGTAGTCAACTCCCTGCCGCTGACTGAAGCCTCGAGCCACGTAACGCGCCTTGAAGACAGGCGGAGAACCCGGCGGCTGCTTCACCCTGAAAATCCAGATGCCACTGACAATGTTCGCCCCAGGTGGGGGAACCTCGTCGACGTAGGTGCCTGTGGACTTCCAGGAAGCCATCTCTGCGTCCATGGCCGACTGCCACTGAGAGGAGTAGGGACCCTCGATCGCCTCAGCGTACGATCGAGGAGTCGGGATGTCTGGTGCATCCGGGTCTCCCTCAGGGGCAATCAGCGTGGATACGAGATGGGGCAAAGCAGCAGCAAAACACTGGAACTCCTCCTGCCTGTCCTCAAGGACGTCCGTGCTAAGAGCACACTCACCCCCGACGGACGGAGGACAGACAGACTCAGACTCAGCAACTAGACCAGCAGCGTAGTCTAGAGGACAGTGAGCCGCGAAGTCGACAAGCTCAGCAACTAGGGCAGACGCAGCAGTGGACTCAAAGGAAGGGTTAGTGAGAACAGTGGCCAGGAGACGCGTGACAGAAGGACTGGCAGCACGAAGAGAGTCAAACGCAGGGTCAGCAAGAAGAGGAAGAGAGGACTCTGGAGGAGACGGCAACGGAACACGCAGAGGAGCAATGGAAGGACGCAATGCCAGGTGGTGTGTGCTTGGGACCGCAGGAGGATGTGGACGCAAAGTACGACGACTAGTGCGAGCAGCACGAACAGGCGACGCAGGACGAGACGCAGGCTCACGACGCTCAGCAAGACCTCCAGTAGGACCAGTGTAGGGAGAAGGAGCAGGTAGGGGGGAAGCGGGCTATAACTGTGACTGCAATTGGATAGGCTGCGGACACTCTAAGGGAGGAGCAGGACCAGTAGAGGGCGGGAGACCAAGAACCTGCTCAAGGAGCGGAACGAAGTACGGCCTCGGCCGCGCAGCGCCTCTAGAACCAGCAAGGACAGCACCAGTACCCCAAGCGGCAGCACCAGCGCCAGCAGCACCTCCAGCTCCAACAGCGCCAACTCCAGCACCCCCGAACGCACCAGCGCCAGCAGAAACACCAGCGCCAACACCCCCAGCAGCTCCAGCTCCAGCAGCTCCAGCACCGACAGCAGCTCCAGCAGGACCAACTCCAGCAGTCCCAGCAGCACCCCCAGTCCCAGTAGCTCCAGTACCGCCAGTACGAGCACCTCCGGGACCAGCAGCAACAGTAGTACCTCCAGCTCCAGCAGCACGGCTCCAGCGGCGGGCAAACCACTCGCGCAGCTCCTGTGGAGAGAGTGGCTCCCGCCTCGACGAAGCACCGCCGGCGGCCACACAAGCAGACCCAGCGCCCCCAGGCTCCTCAACCCCAGGCTCCGCACCCCCAGGCTCAGCATCTCTAGACCCAGCACCCTCACGCTCAGCACCCCTAGATTCAGCACCCCTAGTCTCAGCACCCCCAAACTCAGCACCTCCAGACCCGGCACCCGCAGGCTCAGCACCTCTAGCAGCACAAGAGTCAATAGCTACCTCGACAGGCTCGACTGCGTCTACATGGGACACACCTGACGGGGCAGAACCATGAGAGGGGAGGGGGTCTACCGGGGGAGGACCTGGCGCAAGGAAGAGCGGCGGCGGGGGGAGGGGCACAGTGCGGTAGGGGAAGAGACGGTAGAAAGGCACCGACTCGTCAAAGGTGACGTCCTGGGAGGACAGAACACGGCGCGAGGTGGGGTGGTAAAACTGCCACCCAGGCGCGTCAGGGGGGAAGCCAAGGAAGACGCAGGAAACAGCACGGGGGGACAGCTTGTCCGCAGACAAGTCGCGGACAAACGCCCGAGATCCCCAGACCCGAAACGCAGACGCATCGCCAACCTTCCCCTTCCACCGCAAGGTGGGGGAGGTCTCTGGCAAGAAGACCCGGGGCTGAAGGTTGAGCTGATGCGCGGCGTACTGAACTGCAAACGGCCACAGAAAATGGGGGGCAGCCGCATGCATCATGGACGTACGAGCGACGTCCATGACCATGCCAATGCGGCGCTCAACAATCCCATTTTGCTGCGGAGAGGCCGGAAGCGTGAAGGTCTGGCGGATGCCCTGTGCACGACAGAAGGCTCCCAGACGGGCAGAGGAAAACTCCCCGCCTCTGTCCAAGTGCAGACGCAGAACAGGAAAGTCCGAGCCGAAACTCTCCCTGAGCTGGAGACGAGCTGCGCGGATCCAGTCGATCAACACCTCAGTGACATCACCCTTGCTGCGCAAGGGGAAGACAGTGGTGTAACGCGAGTAGTCGTCAACCACCAACAGGAAGTAACGCTCGTGTCCCTGTCTACGGACGCGGGCGGGGCCCCACACGTCCATGCGGAGAGTCTGCAGCGGAGCCTCTGTCGGAGGAAACTCGGAGGAGTGAGGGGCGGCGCGCTGTCGCCCCTCGACGTAGGGGACGCAGGTAGGGGCAGGGCCCGGAGGTAGGGGAGGTAGAGACCGGGGGAGACTAGAGACAAGGACACGGGAGGCCATGCCTCGGAGATGAGGCAGGGAGGGGTGACCAAGACGGTAGTGCCAAAGGAGAGTCTGGTGGGACAGGAGACGACACGAGTAGGGAGCAGATTCAGGACCAGACCTGGACGCTGCAGCAAACACCTAACTCGACGCAGCTACCTGGCCTGACTCAGCAGCCGGAGGAGACTCAGTAGTAAGGGTGTACAGGCTCGACCCTGGCCGACGGGTGAACGTGGCCAAGTGTCGACCTGTCTGAGCACACGTGCAGTGAGTCACTCGCTGACTCGCAGGAGTGAACTGGTCAACCCCCCTATCCTGTAGGCCCGCTCCACTCACAAAGTTCGTAGAGAACGAGGGGAGGTAGAGACCTGATAGGGTGCCAGAGGGGGCTGCCGGGCACGGTAAGACAGTGGAGAAGCTAGCAAGGACAGGACCCCCAGAGGGGTCCGCCAGGGAGACTGCAACCGGCCGACTGAGCTGCGTAAGAGTGGTGCGGTCTCGAAAGAAGGAGCGGGACACACCCGAGTCAAGGGTGAAGGTGTGTAAGGCCTGAGCCGACGTAGTACCTGAGAGAGCAGACTCACCAGCACCTGGGGCAGCAGACGCACTAGCACCTGGGGCAGCAGACGCACTACCACCTAGAGCAGCAGCCTCACTAGCACCTAGAGAAATGGCCTCAATGCCCGAGTCAGGCGGTACACACAGGTAACAGTCACCCTCAACACTAGTAGTCACAGAATACATGGCAGCAAGGATAGCATCATAGTCAAGATCAAAGATGG